ATTGTCTAGAAGTGGCGAAGAGAATGATTTTCAATTCTGTAGCTGGTCTCTGTAGCGCGCAACGTGCTTGTATGATTTTGAGCGCAAAGCTCCCAAAGTTCTACAACCATGCAGAACCTCCTGCAAACCTCCTCGAGGCTTCTGAGCTGAGCTCGTAAGTCTGATGAATACTTTTATTTATCTTAGATAATGTCTTAGATGATTATATATCATCAATATATATATATATATGTTACAGATAATTCTATTCATTGAGTCTGTATATAAAGTTATGCACAATTCAGTGAACGTGGTGAAGTTGGGCTGAACATGGGGCGAACCTGGATCCAAAGCAATCGGACGAAGTCTAGAGAAATAAGGGTAGGTTTCCTAGGTTTTGCCGCCGTCCAAGATGATTGCAATTCTAAACGAATATCTGTCAAATATGAGGAGTTATCCCTAAATCCCATATATTCCCCCAAAACCTTGTATAGTCCATAAATATCCCCTGTAAAGTCCCTCAATAATCTGTATGATCCGAATCCTATGCTAAGATTCCTGGAGAACCTACAGTAGAAACGCCCGGACACCTACAGGGCATTGGGAAGCGATAGGATTTCTCGAGAATCCTTGATCTAAAATCACGAAACTTCATCTGCAAACATGCAATTCCGAAGAAGTTGTTAAGATCAGAGTCTGAGCTTGGATCCTTGGGATGGCTCCGGCATTGGGTTGGTGCTTGCATGCAGCACCTGCGGCATCTTCGCTTTGGGGGTTAGGGTTGCAAGGCTGAGGTCTGGTGATTCGTGCATGTTTGGGCCTGAGAGTTCTGAGTCTGCCTAAGGGATGGACCTTACAACACATCTGCGGCCGCTGATTAACGAGATTTTGGGGATGCCTCCAGCGCAGCTTGAATTTTCGGCTAGGCTAGGAATTGGGGGGCCAGTAAGAACATTTTCAAACCTGCCCGTGTGAACCTCTAGATCCATGAACAAGGCTTGGCCAAGTACGGACATGATACGTGTCAGGTCGGGACACGAGAGGGGGAACTCGACTATCTGACTGCCTTTGGAAATGGATTTCATCTAACAGAAAAAACATGAAAAAACTGCATAATCCCCACATACTCCCAGTTTCTATTCATTTTTGAGTCTCTGCTACTAGAGGATAAGCTCGGGACCGTTACACAGGTCAGAGGGCACGGGGCCTGGCGACTCAAAGCAGGCGCAAGTTCGATTTTCAACATGTTTCATCTCGACATAACATGAATATGTATCAATCCACTACAGCTGATGCTTAAAGGGCCCACCAACGTATCCCAGAAACCAACAGAAGAGCTGATCATCTCGTATAGCAAAGCTACCAAAAATGCCATCGTCTCACGGCGGGATTGTCTGAAAGAGCTGGGTATGGCTTTGCCTGTGAAAACTCGGACTCTTGCATGTTGTGGCAGTCATTCACGACCAACTTCTGCTTTTCTGGTGCCGTACATGGCTGACTTGCCATCAAAATGTGGACGCCCTGGGTCGGCTCTAGAGGATCTCTGGCCTGCACGAACTCCATCTCCAGAAAAGGCCCAACGAGCTCCAGTTATCAGAATGAGAATGTTCTGAGATACCCCGTCAACTGACGGCGCATACGGGATGACCTATTCCTAGACGATGCATCCAACATCCCCAATCCACTGCACGCTGACGCTCGAATAGATCCTTGCAACCTGTGCCTCCCTGAAAATCACCACCAGCAACAGGTGAGCCCCAAGTCCCCTCCCGAGATCCTTGGCCGGCTGTGTGGAGGTGTAGCCGCCCAAGCCTAGACAACAACCGAAAGCCTTTCGATGGACTCGTTACGTGTTTCCCTCTCTCTTTCTCTCTCTCTCTCTCTCTCTCTCTCTCTCTCTCTCCTAATTCTTCGCAGTTTTGGCATCCTGCAACAAGGAATGGATTGACAAGTTAAGGAGCTAGCTGCTGGCTGTTGCCTTGATCCACAAAGCTCTTTTCTCCGTGGGTCTGTAGCCGCGACAATTTGGTTGTAATTGAGCCATTCTGACGAGGGTGCCTGCTTTCAGGGGTGTGTGCTAGGTTCTCCTGACGAAGCCAAATGGTATGAGCTTCTTTCGCAGAACCTATTCTTGCCGGGAACGAGCAAGGCAGGACCCCACCAAAAACAAAAAACGCCCGCAAGATCCGCTGATGCTCTCCCTTGACCGCTAGCAACAGCGGTTTCTTGTGGAGTAAGATGCGATAATATGCGATACCAGAGGCCATCGCCGTTAGAGCTGCGAAAGCAGCAAGCTGGACCAGCTGCTGTTCACGGTACTTGAAAGCGTAAGCTCTACTACATACCGAAAGCAACAAGTCGATTGTGCATGCATCCATGCTTGCAATGATTGCTTGACGGTACTCCCAGAGTCAACAGGATACAATTACGCCATCTCTTTGCAGTATGAGTTCCAAACTGTTCTGAACCACTCTTCTGCATGTTGACTCCAATCACCTCATGGACCTCTCTGACCGCTCCCCAGTCCGCCTGGAAACACTGCTGGCGTCTTGTGAGTCTGGAACTCCTCCAGGCTGCTGTTCAGACGGGATGATTCTTCAGTGCTTTTTTGGGTCGCCAGTCGACAATTTTTGCTTCTTCGAGACTGGGCCTATCGCAGAATGCGGTGTCATACATGAGCAGCTCACTGCAAGCAGCATGCGTTAAGCTTGTATCCCCCTGTTCCGCGCCTTTGCATACCCCTCTCTCTCTGGTTAGATAGAGCACTCTTAGGCCTCATTAAGCTTTACATCGTCTTGATTAGCTCCTTACACCCTGGGGGAGGGCACCTTTGGGGGAGACTGTATTATAATCCCTTCCTTCGCGGTACGAACCTCTGATCTGCAGTCTTCACGGCCCAGTCATAAATCTCGAAATCTGCAGTCTTCACGGCCCAGTCATAAATCTCGAAACCTTAGACAATATGCCTAAAGAGCCCACTGGAGGCTTTGTAAGGAATACACCTTGAATGATACGTGGGTCCTTTATATTGTTTAGGCTATAATATATACTCGTAGTTAAAGGGTTTTTTCTCCCTGAATGGCTGGCCCCCTTCCAACATGCCCAAACGTAGTTGCAGATCCTCGGACTTGTCAGCCCTCCTGATTCCAAGCTCTAATGTCAGAATCTTGCAGTCACAATTTGTGGGATACGCTCAGGGGCCCTACAGAAACATTATTTGATGGGTCATATAGGCACAAATGCTGACCTGAACGCATCTAAACCTCCAGCAGAGAAGTGAGCCACACCGGCACCCCCCAAAACCCGCCCGACAGGGGCATTGGCGTCTAGCCTCTCTCAGAACTTGCTTCACCGTTACTGGGATAGACGTAAGGTCTCTGTAAAAATGAGTTTTATGGATTTATTGGGATATCACGGGGACCGAGGTTAATGAACAATACCTGTTCAAACTTACCCATGCATAGATATGCGTGTGTGGTCCTGGGGCCCTATACCGCTATGACTCCATAGGCGTCTGATACAATCAGTGCTAGGATCCATACAGGTAACCTCATTTGAGAAATGGGAGTTTCCAAAAATTGGGGGGGGGACCATGTTAGGGTTGTCAGTGTAAGGATGATGGTAAGTTGGGGTCTATATGGGTCTATATTTGGGTCCCCTTTATTTTTGGAAACTATCACATCTGACACGTCACTGTCCTGACAAGCCATGGCGGCGATTTCCTCTGCTGAGGCCTCGAGTCATGAAAACCGAAATGCTTCCTCTTTTGGGGCTAGACAGGCTAGTTTTAGGGGCCATGTAAAACCTTAATCTTTACGGACCCCCTCAAACCCAAGCCCCCAATAGCTCTTGCGATGGATGCTGAAAGCTTTATTCCGTCCTACGGGAGGTGTTCGGATCCTGTACACTCTTGCTCAAACACAGTACCAGTAGCTGATGAGGGCTGAAGGCCTGCCAGCTCGTCCTCTGCTTTGTCATGCAACGTAAATGGCCGGAATGCTTGAGTCTTCGGTGTTGTAAGGGCTTTTGGGCACACACGTTTTGACACTCATGGGGTGTAATTAGGCTTCACCCTCCTTAGTTGTGTGGAATTGTCGTGGCTTTAGCATCATGGCGCTAGCTGCCAGTACTGGCCGCAACTGGCTAATTAGACCGCACAACCCTTCCTACTTCTCTTCCTCCACCTGGGCGCTCCGACTCTACATTCGCTGCTGCCTTAGGATGGCCTAGGTTCTTTCAGGGGCCAGCTTCAATAGACTTTTTCTGCGCCTCCCGCAAATTGCGCTCCACCATAGCTGGTGCAGCATACAAATTCCACAACTGGACTGTGAAGATGTGGCCTATGCTCCTCAGGGTTGCAGGGAAGGGGCTGGAGGTAGGATGAGGCGGAGACTGTGTACACCTTGCAAGATTGCTCGGCGTTGGTCGAGGAAATCATGTATGGAATGGGAATGCGGATAGAATGCTGACTTTTTTGGTGCTGTGTCATATTCGGAGATGCGCCTGAGCTCGTGATGTCAGCCAAGAGCTGCAAGACCGGCACAAACTCTTTGATATTCGCTTGGAGCGTGTGCAACTACTCGCTTGTCGCGACAGTCCGCATGTGTACAACAGCGCTGTCATGCGGGAGCATTGTGCCCACCTGCAACGCAAGTCGTGATTCGGATTCTGATCCTGTCTGGTCAGCTTTTTGTCGACTTCCCCCAGCTGCACCTTAGCCTTTTAGGGGGAACCTGCGGGCTCGTGAACATTCGTCGCATGCCTTCAAAACTCCGCGCAATACCAAAACCGGCGGAGCAAACTCCTGAGGCTCTAGATACTCGAGGTGGCGTACTTTCCAGCAACGCCTCCAATAAACTACTTAGCATCTTCTGCCAGAACGTAGAGAGCTTGCCTTCCTGTCTTGAGGCAAGTTAAAGCTGTGGAGCCTCAGGGGATCTTGGGGAATGGCAGTGCCTTTGCATCACACTCCATAGATCACAAAACTGGTCTAAACAGATATGCGGCAGACTTCAAACGCCTCAGCGGTCCACGTCGCCGGATCCAACACCCATGACCTGGCTAATAGGGAAAGCAGAAACCCTGAACCAGAGAAAGAGCTTGGAACTCAGTTCTTCAAGCGTTGCAGGGGAACATTCTTCCTGACTGGTCAGGCTTCCACAAATCAAGCACAAACTGCCAACATGCCAGGTGAAAGGAACCCTGTTCAAGACTGGGTTAAATTTGGAATGAAACTTGCAGAGAAGCGATTTCAGGTCGACTCTGTGATTCAAGATGTGCCTGACCTGCTAGGGGCCCTACAAGTCAATTTTTGGATTTACGTATACAGGGATTCTTTAGAGAGCCGGGCCTGGCTCATAACAACGAAAAGTGTTCCAGGAATATCCTGCTACCTGTCTGGTATTACTATCACCCCCAATGTCCGCCAATAATGAAGAAACAACTGGAAAAGACAATTGGACATGAAATGGAGACTGGGACCATATAGGGCTAGTTGTATGGGATTGCCAGGCATCATGTTATATGTGAACACCTTACATCCTCACCCTGCATTTGCTTCTTGAACCCCTTTTGTTGCCTCGGCCCCAGTGGGGTAGCTCACATCGTAAAGGATGCCGCAGGTGCCGCACACCGTCACCTTACGACTTCGCTCTCCATTTCATTTGTTACCCGGGGTGTGTACAGGGATATATCGGAATACTGGAATAGAAAATCGGAACTACCATTTTGGGTTTAGGGTTGAGGATACAATCGGGGGGCCCTATAGAAACCTAATTCTCACAGTACGAGCTAGACATGGTCATTTAGGGAATACGTCCATAGTTACTAAGAATTCTTCCCAGGAAACACCCCATGTGTCCAAATCCTCACCCTCTACATATTCCCAATACATTCCATGAAAAGCCAGTCGCGGGCGTGTCCGGCTCGGCCTCGCAGGCGCTGCCATGGTGCGGCGTGTGGTCCGTGCCGCAGTAGCTCTCATCGTCCTGCCTTTCCTGGGAGCTATGGGAGGTGTCTCGAAGTTCTGCTCTCTTCGTTGGGGGGTCCATGGAGGACATGATGCAAATTTGCTAATGCCGGTCTCTAATCCCAAACGCAGCAGGAAATAAAGTGCATCCGCGAGATACAGAAATCCAAACGCACAAAGACAGGTTTGGGGGAAGATGAAAATTCACGTCTTATAGGCCACTTATGGGCCTCATAGGGAATATGCGGGATGATCGTCCATGATGATTAAAAAGTATCCCCAGGAATATCCCAGTATGACGGAGCTCTAGGTCTAGCGAAGCCCCTTCAGCACTATCCTGTTCATACAGGCTCTAGAGCGAGTGCGAATCCAAACCTACATCTACAGGCAATTGCAGCCCAGCTTCCAGGCGGATGTAGCCGTTCTCTCCCCAAGTCGCGCCCCAGGAGTTCCTAGCGACAGCTTCAAGATTCCCACACTGCACCGAAAGTAACGATCTAAAAATTGCATCAGGTCTGCGACATGCTGTGGTTGCGGTTATGTGTTCCAGGGGTCCATCACAAGGGGTCTATAAGCATATCTATTTCCGACAAAGGTGTCTTAGGCACAGCTTCAGCCCACTTGTTCACTGTGGCGCTTGCCAATCTGGGATCCAAGCGAAGTGAATCAGAGCCAAGTGTCATAGCGCTAGAGCCATCTTTCGTTTTAGCAGTCTTGGCGGATGCTCTTGCTCTGCTTGCCGCTTCTGCCATGCACTCATCAGTCCCTCAATCCAAACGTGCCTTCCAACCCTAATCCGCACCTGACAGTCCAGTACTTCTTGCCGCCGTCCACGCCGTAGCCCACAAGGCCGACAGCGTGATCCTAGGGCTGAGGCTCAGCCTCTTGCATGCGGGGTTTTGCCGACTTCAGCAACTTCAGGCTGAAACTAGACTCACTAGACTGAGACAGACTGTGGGTATTAGAACGTTGCATGGGTACTGTGGCACTTATTGTGGTCCATAATAAAAACAAATTATATGACTATTTGGCAAGAATACCCCGGCAGAGATGAATGCACGCACAAATGTATATCCCGGATTGATGCACTGGCACGTGGTCAAGTAAGACGGTGACCAGCGTGTTCTGGATTCATATCTCAGTCAGCGCTGGTCTGAGTTGGAATTGGGCACAGTGGGTACAAAGCTCAGGGTGTAGGGTTTATTGTTTCCTGCCCTCAACTCCAGAATCTGGGTAAATCGTATGTCCAGTAAAACTGGCGAGGGTCAATGTCCACGTTGCCGTCGATGTCGCACGGGTTGGCAATGCCCGAGCTGTAAGGGCTCCAGTGGGAGGCATCAACCGAGATGGCAAGGGGCCCATAGTTCACGATGGCGTGCATGACATCCTGGTGCGTCTTCATTGCTTGCACGGTGTGGGTTTCTAGAGAAAGGCACGGGGCCTTCAGAGATCTGGACCTCTCTAAAGCCTAGAGCGTGCAAGCGGCACTACTTCATAGACTCTAGCCGCTCAGTCTGGAAACAGTTGCACACTTACAGAGGATTGACGAGAACCTTACCAACGAGGATGGGGACGCCATATCTAGCAATCTAGCCGTCAGTATATGAAAATTCTGCTGCGGCCCGCATGGGCCACAGAAAGTGGCACTGCTTTAACTGTTTTCCCATCGGGAAGAACCAAGCTGAACCTTTGCAGGTAATCCTGTGGATGTAGAACCGAATGTGAAAACAGGTCACCAGCACCCCCGAGACTCTGTTGGATTCGAGAGAAACCTTTCAGCAACAAAGCTTCTGACTGTCATATCGGCCAGATTGGGGGCCTTATGAACACTTGACTCTTACGGCTACATAGGCGAGACAGAGGGATGGTCAAATTGTGGTCCAGAATACATAAGTGAAAACCATTCTTAGGAAGATCCCAGGATCAGAGAGGGAGTTGGTGGTCGTCTTGACCCAGCCGGTGATAGACACCATCTTGTAGGACATGGCATGGTACCTCGGGGTTTAGTGTTTAGGGTGCCTCGGGAAGTTCCCAGTAGAATTTGCAGTCGGAAGTGCGAGTGCGAGCGGAAGGCTCCAGGTTTCCAAGACATTTCAAGCCCCAGATTGCCTTTCATCTCCTATATTCTTTTCCAGTTGATTCTCCATTATAGGGGGACAATGTTCCTATAGCCCTCAATAATCCTGCCATCTTGCTCACCCGAGGGTGTTCCGGTCTCAGCACAAGCCTCTGGAAAAGTTGTCCGCGAACGGACATGCTTGCAGGCCCAAAGGATTCAGTAAGTAGGTTATAAACGGGGTCAGAAGCAGCCAACCCCAACTAGGGGACTCTCTTAGCCCATTTCTCGCCTGCTTACCAAATCTTCTGGGCCTCTAGGTCGGCTTGCCCCAAGCAAGGCATCCAGCTATGTGAGTAAAGGTTGTTTCACACTCTTGTAAGTTGTCCTTGAGAAACCTGTCCTCAACTGCATCTCTTGCCTACTAGTGCTTAGGTCAAGAAATTACGTGATGTTAGATGTCTTGTTCACGATGTAAAGGCAGACTTCCACATTCTCAGATAAACCACTTCGGTCATGTGTGGTAAGACCTAAACCCCATGCCCGCATGAGTAGCAGCAACCCAGGTGCTGCATGGCTGTGTCGCATGCGACAGGCGCACCGAAAAAGGAGCCGTAAGGAATCCTTGGAAGCCAACCGCATCTGAGACATCCAAGTAGTCCGCATAGAATATAGAAGCGTCGAAGCTGCGTGAACATGAATTAGTACTAGCAAATCGGCTGCATCACAGTAAGGATTCTGCCTTAGGAGTGTCGATCTAGCATTTCGTCCTCAGACAGCAACCTAGCCCGCCGAAATCGCATCTTGCGGGGTTATGCTTGGAAACAGGCTGGCTCCGCAAGAAATACCATGTGACAGTCCTGCAAAGCGCTGAACGCAAAACCTGCGCATGTGTGCCACTTCGGCAACGATGGCAGGGGCCACAGCTTCTCATCGCTTGCAAGGCCATCTAGATCTAGGACGTCCTGAGGCCCGAGACCGACAGGGCAAACCGCCATATTTTTCTAGGCATTCCACCCCTCACCTTTCTCAAGAGGTAATGATCTGAAGTCTGAGGCGTCTCTGGAGGCCAAGGCACACCTCCTCGTAGGTGAGACCGTGGTCGATGATGTAGTCCATGGCAAGCTCGGATGTAGAGCCTCAAACAGCAAAGCTCTGACTGAGCGCAAACACAAAACCTAGCTTCATGGCAAACAATCAGACTCTTGGGAGAGAACAGGTGGCTTGTCCGACCCAAGCTAGACAAGAAAATCCTAGCATTGTCTCGCGAAGATCTGGAGGCCGACGCTACCTGAATGTCTCCCATCTTTGGTGCTGCAGAGGATGGGCACTATGGACTATGGACGTCCTGGGATAGATTTAAGGCATATGATAGAAAATGTACCGGGATTATGGTCCATTGAAACTAACTAATGTATACATATATATATATACATACCCACTTTCCATGTCATGTTCCATTTGAGCCCTAAATCATCCTGTCCTAAACCCTGAAAAGTAGTTTCCAGTTTCTTCTCCTCCCTGACATTAACCTCTATGTACACACTATTTGTAGTAGCTTCCATTTTCTTGTCCACTCCCCCACATATCCCTTTGATATCCCCTTGCTTGTGTTGCCTTTCTTGTCAGATGCAGTGGATCTTGGACCTGGACAGATCTGAGAACTCATCTCAATTAGGGGTCTCTTAAAGGGGTTTTAGGGGAAATCTAGGAGTATTTGGGAGTTTCCCAAACTTAGGGGTGCTTTTTAAGGGGTCCCCCCCAATAGGATTATAAGATTTCGGGAGTCTATATTGGGGTGCCCACGTTTTATGGAAAATCTGGAAAATACCTCTTTTCTTCAATGCCACACCAGGCCATATGCCGTATGCCCAACAAACCACAGGACCCCATACATGGAATTTAAGCCCTCTTCAGACGCTGCGCCATCGCAGCCGCCAGTGCCGCCGCAGTGGTCGGGGTTCTCCTTGACTGTTGGCGGCTACTTTGGCTTCGAGAACCTGACTTTCTAAGCTCTAGGCCTCAGTGACCTTAGATATTTGCAATATCTTGCAATGGACTCAGCGAAGCAGAAGTGGAGGCTCCAAAGCTTGACTCCGTTAACCCTCCAGAGCCTTGGGCTCTAAAGCCACGCCAAGTCTCAGCGCAGGACACGAGCTGCTGCGGGGACAAAACGGTCAGCCTTGGAAGACGCTAGGGGCAGAGGTTGAGGTATAGAGTTACAAAGGGGCTAAAGGGGAGGATCATACAAGAATCTATGAATGTATGAAGGAATGGAAATGAGAATGGAAACGACTTTGTTATTGGGGATCATATAGGGACTCCTGTAAGGCAGCTTGCTTGCTTGGACGGCGCAAGAACATTTCTTGGGCTCAGAAACCAGCAACAGGGGAAGGATCACGGGGAGAGCCGAATTGCTGCAAAACTCCGTAGGTGCAAGCACGTTCTAGCTTGCTTACGGGGATAGGTTTGAGGGCCCAATACAGCATCAATTATAGCCAATTACAGCTTTAAAGGAGAGATATAGGGAATGCGGTAATGCGGTCCATAATGCAGGGAAGGACAAACCTTTGCTTCGAAATTCATTTTGACTCAGGGCTGGAACGAACTGTTCAGCTGTTCTATGTCTGCTTTAAATTGTGCACATTTACGGAATGCATGCAAAGAGCTCACGCCTTTTTGCAAGTGGGGATGTTTCGTCCAAGCTTGTCCTGCAAGCACCTGCGGACCTGTTGTGCAAGATGCCATCCTGGGCGTACCTGCAGTCCTGTGCAAAACTGAGTCCGGCCTGGAACTCTAAAGGTTTAAACTGGAGGCCTGTCAAGTTATGCCCCCTATTCTGCAAATTGAACGGGCTTCGCCGCCCATTTGCCAGCCAAAATGCCCTCACACACTGATTGACATGTGAGGCACACCTGTATGTTTTCAAAATTCAGCATGGGGGCTGCCACCAGTGCCCTAAAAACAGCTCTTCCACAAAGCAACCTGTCTCTGCCCTGTTTGAGCACATGGTGCATGCCTGAAGACGGGTTCTGCACAAGGGCGTACTCACCTGTGAGGACGCAAGGGTTGCAAACAAGTGGCTGGCGCCCTGTACCACCTGTTCAGTTTCTTCTGCCTCACTGCTGGTAGAAGATGCACTGCCAGGATCTGATGAACTTCCTGAGGAGCTCGACACGGCCCATCTCCCAGATCTGGTGTCATCCGGGTTGAACTTCTTCATCCTGACCTGCCTGAGGAGGTTTTGTAAGCTCCTGAGTGGTCCTGCCATGGCATCCCTGCTGTAGCTGAGTGCCGAACTGCTAACCCCAGTGCTATGGTACCCTAAGATAGTCCTTTCTAGGGTGTCCATGCTTGCTTTGGCCGACCAGGACAAAAGCGTTGCTTTCAAGCTATGGGTCGTAATGCTGAGTAGGGAATCAGCATTGGTCCTGTCATCCCTGGACAGAAGCGTTCTCAGCCAACTGCTTGCCCTGGACGTGCTCATACAGCACGACGGTAAGAGGGTCCCATCAGCTGCGAGGTCAATGTTGCCTGTATGTCCAAGCTTCCAATGCTTGCGTGCAGCTTGCCACGCCGAGCCCCACGGCCTGTCTCCTATGCCCATGAGAGGGGCCACCACCGGTAACATGAGGCGTTTTCTCCTCGCGGCCCTGCTTTGCTTTGGCTCCTGAACAGTTAGCTCCACAAAGCCTGAAATGAAGTCTGAACCAGCATCTATGTCAATCCTGATGGCCCTTCTCATGTCACTGTGTCGAGATCCGATGCCTAAGTCCCAAAGAGGGGCCTCCACTTTCCTCATCAGGGTGGGAGGGTGGGAACTGAAAATTTTGTGCTTGACCCAAAATGGCACACGTACAAAATTTAAATGCTGTTGGGGCAAGCAGGCATTAAATTGTGCACATTTACGGAATGCATGCAAAGAGCTCACGCCTTTTTGCAAGTGGGGATGTTTCGTCCAAGCTTGTCCTGCAAGCACCTGCGGACCTGTTGTGCAAGATGCCATCCTGGGCGTACCAGCAGTCCTGTGCAAAACTGAGTCCGGCCTGGAACTCTAAAGGTTTAAACTGGAGGCCTGTCAAGTTATGCCCCCACATTCTTTTGCGGAAAGGCCTTCGGCTAGCCTCCAGATCATCCCCACTTCGACTTTAATTTCAGAGGCTGACTGAAGGAAGGCTGGGATTTCTCCTCTGCTGGGCGCATCGGCAGGATTGGAGATGCTAGGCACCCTTGCAATCCACAAGCTGAGACCATAGTCGACCTCAGCAGCCAGGCAGGCCTGGACTATGAGCATGTTGCTCCGAGGATAGGCTTGTGCCGCAATGATGCCACGCCTTGCTGCATGATTGTCTATCCACAAAGTTAGATGGGAGCTAGACAGCACTGGACCCCACACTGCAAGAGAAACAGCCGCTGCCAGCAACTCACATTGCATGATGGGGCGCTGAACGCCATCATGTAGCCACCTGTTCACTAGTCCTGTAGGTACTTTGGCTCGCCAGAACTGCCACGGTCTACCGTTGCCTCGGCAGAGAACTCCTGCCATGCACCCTGTGTGGGACTCAAAGGATCCATCTGTGAAAAGCTGAAAGGTTTTCCCAGTCGGCTGTCTGAAGCACTTAGGCGGGGCCTTAGGGACATTGTGATGGATCCACTCAAACGCCTGACGCAGCGAGGGATCCATGACGCGCGGCTTGCTATCACTTGGAGGATCTCCTGACGCCAGTATGGCGCGGAAGAACTTTCTTCCCAGCCTGTCGAAGGTTTGCCCTTCCATCCACCTGAGTCGGCCTGCGAAGACTGAGCACTCGTGCGGACTTGCTCTGCCAGACCTGAGGAGTCTCAAACACACAGCTGCAAGTTCTTTCCTCCTGTGCTCTGTGTTGCTAACTTGTACAGGATCGGTCGCAGACCTAGGAAGCAGAAAGCTGATCCCAAGGCTCTGGAAAAGGCAAGCATAAGGCTGGCCTTTATCAGCTGCAACCTTCCATCCTAGAATTCTCATCAGAAGCACGAATGCTGCCTCAGAACTGCTGCTGTCTAAATCAGAAACCACTGAGGTGTAGTCATCAAAGAACACCGTGATTGGGACCAAGACATAGTGCAAGGCTTTGAGCAAGACGACGGTCGGCCGTTTGGCCTCTGGGTTCCAAACTGTGGCCTGCGCAAACTTTAGGTCCTGAGAATGTATGGGAAGCTGTTTGTATGCACTCTTGAGGTCAAATGTTTTTCCTGAAAGTGCAACAGCTCCACTGGATTGGCTGACGTCATTTTGGGCTGTGAGGCCCCTTTGCAAAGCCAGTGCCAACGACACTGTTGCCGAAGACGGCATGACCATGATCTTTTCGACGCAACCCAGTGTGTGATTGACTTGCGAGACGGAAAAGTCATCTATGGGCCTGACTTTATCCTGTTGTTGTACTGCAAATCTCCTGGACAGCACTGAGTTTTCAGGAGGTTGCGTCAGACCTAAGTGCCAGGTGGCCCACCCTGACTCGCACTCCTTCACCGTCTGCTGCCACAAGGCCTTGTCTAGGGCGTCATCTCCTGACGGCCTGCACATGCCCCACATTCTGCGGTTGTTGTCACGCCTGGCCGACCACAGATCTTCTGAGGTGAGGGAAGGCACTAAAACCTTAGTGGGCCTAGTGTGGGTGTCCTGCAACCATCCTGTGATGCGAAAGCCGTGTTGCATATCATCGGTGAGAGACCTGTCCGGGAAATTCATGTTCTGCAGGAGTTCATGAAGCAGAAGAATGCGCTTGCCCTTCAACTCGTCTCTGGCATGTGGCTGGACATTGCCATGAATGTCCGCACGACTTAACTTGGACTTGAGCCTGTTAACCCTAAAGTCACTCAACTCCTGTGGTCGCATGCTGCAGTATCTGTGAACTGCATGGTCTAGCACAGGGGGCAACACTGGGCCTTTGCTCTCAGGATGCTGACTTGCAGCCGACAAGGTCAGGAATTCCTCTGGAGTGACCGGTATGCCTACCTGAGCCCACCAAGCACCTGAGTTCTGGGCCACTGCCAAGGTCGTGCTACCCTTGGGAACGGGACCTGGTGCCACAGCTTGTTAGGAAAGGGATCCACCACAGGCGGCATGTGGGAACCTCTTGGAAAGAGCCCCTGAGCAGCCCTTTCAAGACCAGTTTGTGATTTCCCCAGAAATAGGGGGTTGCCCCCATCAACCTGTGAAATCTTTCCTGAGGTCACTGCCGCCTGCAGAACTAATGATGCTATGTGGCTGCACAGGCCAAGGGGGATAAGCGGCTTCTTTGGACGTTGCCCAAGTCCCATCACAGCTTCACAATTTTTGCCTGTGCTGCATCCTTGGCGTCAACCGGGATGACCTGCATGCCTATGGACCTGAAGGCTTTGCTCATCCAGCAAACAATTCTATGACAACTGCATCGGACACTGTCATGTTGCAAAGCTCTTGACCTCTGCTGTGTGGTTCTGCATAGGTCGGAGCTGGCTCCAATTGTTCCTGAAATTCCTGTGAGGCCTGAGCGGGCAAAGCTTTGTTGTTGTGAGGCTGGCTCTGTGGGGCATGCCTGAGCATGTGCGAGGGCAAGGCTCGGTGGCTCCTGAACTGCTTGTGCAGGGGAGCTGACCCTATCCGACGGCCAAGACAAAACTGCATCACGAGAAATGCCCTGGCCAATGCTACAAAATTGAGGCTCGGGCACCACTGCCTTTGCAGTAACGGGAGCCTGAGTTTCATCACGGGAACAAACCGTGTCATCCGGAGTGTCCACACCTGATGCTGCAGGTTTGGGGTGACTGCTGGGCGTGGGAGCGTGGCTCTCCTGAGAGACCTGCAACGCCTGAGATACAACTCCCTGAACCACACTCCACCCTGCATCCTACTTGTCACAGCCACTAGCGGAGTCCTTTTTACAGGAGACACTAGAAGGCGTGTCCCATGTCCCGAGTTGGCACCCGTGAGGGAGACTATAATCGAAACACATCGCTTCACCGTTGTGGTTCGGGTCAAGCCCTTTGAGTGCCGCAGGGACGTTGGTCTGGATGCGCGGCGCACCCTTGCCTTTGCCTTTCTGCTTGCCTTTGCCCTTCCCCTTGCCTTTGTCCTGTTTGCCTTTGTTGCCCTTGCCTTCCGGGACGCCCACGGACGCTTGAAATGTTTGCAAACAATTTCGGGGGAAGGGGCATGGGATGCAGGTGGAAAAGGACCTGAATGGCCTCGTCCACTGGGCCAGTGCCGTGAGTCCCTGCGAACTGATGACGAACTGTTTCGCTGATGCGGACCCAAAGCCCTCAATGCCTGATCTAAAGTGGGAGGCTGGTAGCCTGGGGGCGCAGGCCGATGCAGCCGCCGATGCACATGCGCCAACAAGGCTCATGCTCAGCAAAGGCACATCTCAAGGGCCACTCCACGCCTGGTGAGAGCCTGTGCAACCCTGAGCTCACTAGACACATCTATCTTGATCTGCTGTGGCTTGCTGGCCAATTTGAGGGAAGAATTTTCTAATCTAAGGAGCTGCTCATCCTTCTTCCCTGAAGCCACCTCCATTTCCCTGCTTGCACATCTGCTAAGGGCCACATGCGTAATGCACCGGGAGGAGGCCATCCCTGAACACACATCAATCAAACTATGCGCAGGTTCATACGGCCCATTCACAGTGCAAAACTGCCAAGTTGCTGTTGAACTGCCTGAAACCTGGAGTCACGCTCCTGGGGAGTCAACCTCTTGACCCCTTCAACACCTGGAGAGCTGATGGCGTCTTTTAGCTCTGCCACCACGAAAGTACCTGCCTCAAAGACAAGTCGCTTGATGGCACTTTTTGCCTGAATCAGAAAGGTTGGGCTTGCATGAGCTGATCAGGTCGTTCAGCTTAGCATCATCCACCTGATTTGGTCCTGACGCTACCCTAAACAAGAGTTGGCCGTAAGTGCACACACCCTTGGCTATCAAGTCATCCACGTTGTCTTGGGGCAACCCAAAACGTTTGCAACGGTCAGTGAAGGTGACTTGCGAATCAGAGATGCCAGCCATATTGACCTGCCAAAGCCACAACTGCGCACGACTCACGGCCATGATGCCTCTGGCCTCCTGGATGGGTGTACTCCGGATGACTGTGCCTGGCCAAGCTCAAGCCGGCGTTATGTTCTGAGCAAGTGTCTCCCAACCTGTTGCCCGCTTTGATTTGAAATCCTGACCTAGGCAGCGCTTACATCACAAGATGAGGCTGACAAGCAGGACCGTCCTGTGAGCACCGGTGTCAGCCCAAGCTGACCTGTCAGGCGCATCCACTTTGTGTCATTGGCACTATATGCCTCATGTCCCGCTCTGGCCTGAAGGCCAGAACAACCTGCCACAAGGCAGGCAAAGTAAGGCTTGCGCCAAGCCAAGTTTGCACCCGCCTGATCCCAAGGAGTCGCAAGCACTCAGACCTGGCCGAGCGCAAACCAAGTGTCACTAAACAAAAGATTTGTTCCTCCAGGCCTGTAAGGCAGCACAAGCTGCCAGGGATGGCCTGGCACAAGCCAAGCAAGTGAACAGCCTCAAGGCCACACACTTTGTCCCAGCCTCCAAAGGCTGGACTGCCTGAAGAGAGGTGTGTCGAATGGCATTATAACAATGGATGCATCTGAGGGCGAAGCCAACACTCTGGACCCCCTACACCCCCAATGTGTCAGAGCCAAGCTGTGGTTGCAAGAGCAAGAGACCTGTGTTTACAAAAGTCAAGCTGCAAAGCTCAAAATGCAGGCCCCCCGAGCTGAGCTGTTTTCCTGGAGGTGCTGATTCCTGTGCAGAGACGGTTGACCAAGGCTCCTCGGGGCACTTACGGCAGAAACCTGGAGACCCTGCAATCCACTGCTCACAACCACAACTGCTTTACTAAAAGCTGAGCACGCGGCCTGCACAGAAACTCCTGAGGCGCCCTACTACCTGTCACCCTAAAGGCACAGCAACATTCAGCTTAAAGTGCTCCGTGTTCATAAAACCAAGGCTCACACCTCAAAACCTAAGGGTGACATGTGGGACACTCGTGATTGGCGTGACCCCTTCGGGTCCCAAAGGCTACAGGCCTGGAACACGAGAATCCACAGGACTGAGAGCAATGCAAAAGGCAAAAGCCATTCAGCACAAAACGCGGACGATATGGTCCTGGGCCGATGCCTACGAAGCGGAAGAAAACACCTGTAGGCCTGCCTGGGAGGGAGATCCCCTTCTAAGCCCAGTGTACCCGCCAAGGCCGCCGGCGCACCATGACAGTAGCTAATGTCTCTGCCCCAGGCTTCAGAGGGCACTGTTGTCATGTCAGGCTCAGGAGGTGTTCTGAGACCGGTGCCTGAGGTGACCTACGCTCAGAGGTGGAGGCTGCAGCCTGAGTCGTTGACCTGGTTCCAGGCTGTACTCCACGGGCCTTGGCTGCGGCCTGGTCCGCACTGTTGTACACTGACGTTCCTGGAACCTGACTGGCTGACTGTGTGGCATTGTTGTCCACTCTGCTGCCGTCCTGTCCAAGAAGACCGCTGTGCCATCCACGCCAAGGATCCTGCTGAGTGCCAGTTGCTGAGGGTCCCATCTGCGAAGCACGAGCAGGCGGATCCTTAGGCTGAGCCGGCATTGGTTGCGCTGACACCTTGGGAGTGGCCACTGTAGGTGTCCTAGGTGGCGGCGTGCAGGCGCCTGTGGAACCTGAGGACCCAACTGGAAGGAAGTGATCTCCACGTACGGACCTGCAGTCTCCTGAAACGCCTGCAACCCTGAATCCACCAAGTGTCCTCCGCCCACTGCGTGCCTTTCGGCCAGGGTGACCAGAGCACGGGCCCGCGCCCTTGCATGAACACTCAAGCCAGAGAGGGCCTCAATCGCCTGGTCAGGGTCCTCTTCAGGCAAGTTGCGCCATGCAGCCTGTACCCTAGCCACTCCTGTGCTCCACTCCATGGCACTTACCTATGGGGCAACTGAAGAACAACTGAAAATTTTGTGCTTGACCCAAAATGGCACACGTACAAAACTTAAATGCTGTTGGGGCAAGCAGGCACAACAACAATCTCTCTAAGCATATGCCAGGTAGCACTCCAGAGTGAATGGCCGCGTGGCTCTCAACAACACCTGTTCGTGTAGAGCAGTCTTTGGTAGAACGCAGAAGGTCTGAAAAGGATGGTGTACAAGCCCTGGCCCTAGCCTGGACAGGGGACAAATACATATTCTGCAGCCATCACTTGATTTCACTGCAGACAGCTCACACGGATGGAGGGGCAAGGGTCATACCGGTGCTTGTGGCATTGGCTTAGGGCACGAGCTTTCAAGCCTTGTGCGGCATATGGCAAACTTGCACATGACGTTATATCGAATATAACTGGCGTCTGTTGCGTAAAGCTGTCAGATATGGTGATCAACTCCCACATGTAGGTACGTCCCTAGGCGAGGTTTGGTTGCTTGAGCTGATACGAGCTACAATCAGTCTTGCCCACGAAAATTAGTGGAAAAACAGATGGAAGATGAAATGGATACTGGGATGAAATAGGGGACTATAGAAATGAATATTCCCCATCCAACAAACAGACATGCACGCTTATTAGGATCGCATAATGTATGAGCGACTAAACTAAACTACCAAAGGGCCCCCCGTGTCCACCCTTACGGTCCGCTGGTGTAAACCTAATACTGACAGTAGCCCGTATGATAGCAATCTATAGCGGGCCGTTGGCTGCGCATTCAGATGTCCTAGATGGGAGTTCATGGTTTCTGGTTGGGAAGCCGCATCCCGCTTCTCTAGACTCTAGGCCCTTCGCTGTGTAAACCGCCCCTCCACCCCAAATATTAAATATGTCCCCCAACAGGTATGAAGCAAGATCTATCATTAGGAGCAGGGGGTACGTAAGATTAGTATGCAG